TGTTATTTTTAAACTATTTTCAATATTATATAAAAATACAATGTTACCAATACCTAAAACAAAGCTAAAACAAATATATTATAGAACTGTAAAGTTTGAGTCGTGTCATATAGCTCTCCATGTACAACTGCTTGCCCCCTCCCACAAAAAAAATAAAATAAAGAAAAAGACACAAAAGAAAAAAGGATTTTCAGTACTTCAGACTTCAGACTGGACGAACCGGACAACTGTGCGATATACTTCTATACCAAATATTTATCACTTTCCTAGGTTTTCTTTATGTCCCAATCTCTCTTCAGTCCTCTCACACTCAGTGCTTGGTGTTGTCCCATTGTAAGGACATGAATGTCCTGTTGTGAACATGATGTACTGTAGTGTCATGTATCCTCCTCAGCCTTTGAATATGGACTCAGATCTTGTCAGTAGAGAAACAGATCTTCTAGCAAACATATCCTTTAGATTATATTATATTATATTATATTATATTATTTTATATTATATTATATTTTATATTACACTCAGAAAAAAAAATGTACAAAGCTGTCACTATGGCACCCTAACGTAAAAAATCTAAAAGATACATCTTGTACCTTATTCACCTCTAAATGGTGCATATTAGTATTTTAAAAGTACATATTAGTAACTAATGTGAATATTAGTGCCTTTTGAAAGGATTGCTGCCCCAGTGACATATATTGTGAATATAATAACATTTCGCAAATAATTTAAAAGTGCAATATGACTTAAGTTTATTTGATACATTTATAATGAAAGGTAGCCACCCATTTTTTCCCATTTTCCCATTTGTTTCAAATGAAATGCCTGATGTATTCAGATCACATCACATGCAGTCTGCTATTTTGATCAAAACTATTTTCATCCCTTGGATCTTGCCAGCTGTCTTTATTCATGTCTCTCCCTACTGTTACTCTCTAATTGCACAGACCAAACTTTCATCCGTTCCATTACAGATGATCAAACCAGGACACTGAGAGTTCCTTTGGGCAGTATGAATTCATTTAAATCAACTCGTTCCTATTCATTGGAAATCACAGCCTACTGTGCGAAGCCAATTGTCCAGTTTTGATTTCACCCTCCATTCATTCTGCAAGCAAATCACAAATGTCCGTCACCGGTGATTATATGTTTAAATTCCAGCTCACAAAAAAAAAAAAAAATGTTGACTAGGTCAGGCAATTTATCCTCACTCCAACTGTCCTGGAATACGATAATAATAATAATCAATTTTCTGACTCAGGGATACCTTAAAATCCATTTACAGATATTTGCCTAAAATCATTTGCCTTCTCACCGTTCTGTCTCCATTCCTTTCTTTCTTTCTCATCTACAGTATGTACAGACCTCTCCCTTTCCACAGCGATACACAAGTGTGGGCACAAAGAACAGAGACAAAGACAGAGGCATAAGTGTGTATGGGGTTAATGAATAGAATATAGATGTTATTGTAAAAACAGGTTAAAGGTACACTGATCAATAAAAATGAGAAATGAAGTACGGGAAAAATGAAAAAGAAGAAATGGTGGAACGGACTGAAGAGCTGTAGTATTCCCTGTGTGCTGGATGAGACAGATATGAGATTAGCAGAAGAGAGTGCTACAGCCTCGCTAATGGATTTCTGTACTGCGATAAGAAGAAGTGAATGGCAGTGGGACTCGTGTTTGCCTGCTCGGCAGAAGAGCCATAATCCATCCCCTGCATTATTACACGATGGATCTGCCATCCAGGCTAGGTCATTGAATATAGTTGCCTAATCAGGTATTGCCCTGACTGTCACAGCTTCAATTAGCGATTAAAAAAAGAGGCAGAAAAAAAGAGGCAGAGAGAAAGAGAATATCTTGTTTCTATTGGATTGGAGCAATCACATCTGATTTTGATGAGCTGCTGTGCTGTTAATTGCTGGGTCTTGATAGATGGGTCTCTTAAGGCTGTTTAAATGGGAGAGGGTGAGTTTTTTCAGTGTTGATGGGCTGGAGGGGGTTAAAATTATGGGCTTGTGACATATTATTATTATGTAATATTATGTGAAACTGAAGTGCTTGAAGAAATGTATAATATGTCGCTTCGTTTTATAAAGCCGTTTTATATTGCTTGCCCATATAATGGTTTGATATTTTCTGTTACCTTACATTTTCGATACATCACCGATTGTTTTTGTGCTTCATATAGTAATTGTTTAACTGTTTAAATTGAACTGAAAACCCTAGAGTGTAATAAGCTTGTGAGACCTTACTCCAAATATTGCCAGTACAAGGGGGAAAAGGTCAATGTGTTTAAGAAACTGTATGATTTTTTGACGTTGGATAGAAGGACTTGTTTGTAACCAAGACAAATAAATTGATGGGGTGATTTGAGCCTGTGTAAAAGTATGAATTTATTTTTGTTTAAAAAAAAGGGAGCATATTCAATGGAGTCGAGTGTGACAACTAGCCTAGGACTCGCTATTATCATGCCATTGTGAAGGCTGTTAAACTCTTCAATAAGGTCGTCACGGAGATAAGCTGTTCAGTGTATATTTATGCATGTAAATACATAGTGACCTTCTCTCTGTGTCACTCTTTAGGAAGCTGTATCTCCAATATCAAAGCCTTTCTATTTTCACTCACTCTCTGACCTGTTGTCCTGGCTCTTCTGCAGTTTTGCACATTTAGCTGAAGTCCATGTGTGTGTGTCAAAGCTGTGCTATCTTTCTCAACCCAATAGAAGAAATAGAAAGGATAAAAGAAGGCTGACTGAGAGTATGTATATGTAATATCAAAGATAGAAAGAGAGAGATTTTAGATTTTAACAACACTTTATTTTGCCTTCTTCAAATGGCAATTAATACTTTTCTTCCGTTAATAAGTCCCGAAAGCTTTGTAAAAACTGTCCAACTTTTCAAAAAGAATGAATACCAAGTCTTTCCGCCACAGCCTCCACATTATTCAAATTCGGACCTGCTAACATTGTCATATGTTTCATTGTCACAACTCCAGCTTTAATAAACGCATCATTCATACCTGGAAATTCATTTTTTTTAAAAACCATTCGTGACCCATACACAATTGGTTCTTCTAATAACCAAAATAATTAGGATTTTTTTGTAAACAATCTTTTCCTTTCTACAACACTCCATGATCTAAACACACTACAATAGAAAGAAAAAAATCCTCTCACATTCAAAAAAAAAACAGTAAAACGAATATCATTTTTAAAAAAACCTGAAAAATCTTGAAAGTCCTCTTCGTCCATTTTCGGTCTCACTCCCATACTCGGAAAAAAATCAGTACATTCAGGCAATTCACAACCTTTCATCC